GTTCGCGGCTCACGTCAACTCCGAAGATTCCACTGATGTTGTTGACATCGTCCTTCATCATCTTCTCGATGTCCCCCTGACTGAGCGACTCATATTCCACCTCATAAACCTTGTGTTTGCCTTTGCCGGATGGCTTGTAGTCCGCATCGAAGGCATCAATGTCCATTTCCGAGGCCGACTCTGTAGCTTCATAAGCACGCGCTCATTGAACGGAGTGGAACACGAGCTCACCATCTTCGGCGTCGTCCAGAAGGACATCCTCATCCTCATCGTAGTAATCCTGATCAGAGTACTCGTTGTCAGTCGACATTGTGGATATAGATTGAGTCTAGGATGTGAGGGGGTCTAGAGAGCGAGTACGCTGAGAACGAGTACGGAGGCAAGGTGCGGTGCCGGCGCCTCCGCAGAGTCGAGCATGGAAGGGAGGGATTTAAACTCCGACTTATTATTGCCAGGGATCGGTAAGGAATAGGGACCAGTTTGAATGCGTGCGAATATTAGTGCTTAATTCAGGCAGCCTGCAATCTTCTGACTCGTGCACTTTTGAGTCCATGTATGCTGAGGCTGTTTCGCCTCAAACCACGTCCTCTCCTCTCTAGATATACCCAATTCCAACCTATACGACCTATACAATTTAGAAAAATGGCTTCCGAGAGTACTGGAACCCATAAGGATCTTGTCACAGGAGAAATGGTCTCCAAGCAGTGCGTTCCATAATTCTCACAGATTGTGTCATACATCAACAGATACCGGCGCGCAGGGAGCTCAAGCGTCGCGAAAAGCAGAGAGAGAAAGATCGCAGGAAGGCCGAAAAGGCTGCAGCTGCACCTCAGCACTCTGAGGGCCAGGCAGAGTCCTCTCGAGTCAATGAGGATGACCTCAATCCAAACGTACGCTGTTCTGTGCAGTGTCTCGAGTTTCAGATGCTGAATTATCCTAGCAATACTTCGAACTTCGCTCGCGTCATATCCGCAAGCTCAAGGAGACTATGAGCCCTAATCCCTACCCTCACAAGTTCGAGGTCACGCTATCGCTTTCGCACTACATTGAAAAGTATGGTCCTGACGGCAAGATCAAGCCCGGAGAGAAGATCGAGGGCACTGTCGAATGCCTCGCGGGACGTATTCACAATATTCGCGCGTCTGGCCAAAGTCTGCGTTTCTACGATCTCCACGGCGAAGGCCAGAAGGTGCAGATCATGGCGGTCAAGCAGTGAGTCCTACCAGCATTTACAATACTACTTAAACGGCGGTTTGCCATCCTTTGTACAACGCAGTTGCCATTTTTGCTCCAGTGGCAAATTGGTCTGTCGCGTGACTCGCCGCTTTGGTCGTATGCGTCTCGATTACAGGCTCACGAACACTACTGCATTTCAGAGACGCCAAGGACCCAGAAGGTTTCGTCGCGCAACACGAGCACTTCCGTCGTGGTGACATTGTCGGTGTCATCGGAACCCCGGGACGTACCAAGAAGGGCGAGCTCTCAATCGTTCCTGCAGAAATGATTCTCCTTGCACCAAACCTACACCAACTGCCATCGGGCCACTTCGGCCTTAAGGACCAGGAAACGCGCTACCGTAAGCGCTACCTGGACCTGATCCTCAACGAGGATACAAGGCGCATTTTCATCGCTCGTAGTCGCATCGTCAACTATATCCGCCGGTTCTTCGACAACCTCGGCTTCCTCGAGGTCGAGACGCCGATGATGAGCATGATCGCTGGTGGCGCAACCGCGAAGCCGTTCATCACGCACCACAACGACCTCGACCTCGATCTGTACCTCCGTATTGCCCCCGAGCTGTATCTGAAGGAGCTCGTCGTTGGTGGTCTGGACCGAGTGTACGAGATCGGGCGTGTGTTCCGCAACGAGGGCATCGACCTGACGCATAACCCCGAGTTCTCGATCTGCGAGTTCTACATGGCGTATGCAGACATGTACGACCTCATGGACATTACCGAGAGCCTGATCGAGGGTCTCGTCAAGTACCTCACAGGCGGAAAAACGACGCTGACGTTCCATCCCGAGGGTAGGGACAGCGAGAAGGTTTACGAGCTAAATTTCAAGCGGCCATGGCCGCGATACGACATGATCACGACGCTAGAGGAGAAGCTTGGGGTGAAGTTCCCGGCGGGGGAGACCTTGCACACTGGAGAGGCAAATCAGTTCTTGCGCGAGCTTTGCCGGAAGGTCGGCCGTTTTGTCTGTCAATAGTGCTGTGAATGCTCAATCTCCCTTGTAGCACAACGTGGAGTGTAGCGAACCCCGGACGAACGCGCGCCTGCTGGACAAGCTCGTCGGCGAGTATATCGAGCCTCTTTGCATCTCCCCTGCCTTTATCGGTAAATTCGTTCGCATAAATGTTCCTAGTGCACCACTGACATGCGGATAGTCGGTCACCCGCAGGTAATGTCGCCGCTCGCCAAATACCACCGGTCACGGCCTGGTCTCTGCGAGCGCTTTGAAGGCTTTATGTGCGGGAAAGAGTTCTGCAATGCTTACACCGAGTTGAATGATCCGTTCGAGCAACGGCTGAGGTTCGAGGAGCAGGTTCGGCAGAAGGAGCAGGGTGATGACGAGGCACAGGGTATCGATGAGACATACGTTGACGCGTGCGTATTCTCCACTGCTATGATTGCGCCTCCATCTAACGATCCCGTTGTACCAGTCTGGAGCACGGTCTCCCGCCGACGGGCGGGTGGGGCATCGGTATCGACCGCCTGGTAATGTTCCTGACCGACTCAGCCAGTACGTCCGGCTCTTCTCTGATCCTCTGCACTCTCGTTGACCATCTGTTAGATATCAAGGAGGTCTTGTTATTCCCTGCGATGAAGCCGATCGAGACTACGACCAACACCGCGGGCCCCGTCGGGCCCTCTGGACAGGTTTAGACGTCCGTGGCAGCACACGTTCTGCCTGCACATATTGTACTACCGGTCTTTTGGCCGAGCTAGATCCAAAAATCAAAAGTAGATTCTGTTTATACATCGGCTGGATGAACGTCGCTATCCGGGCGATTAGTCAGCCAAGGTCCCAGCATTTACCCCGGACACTACCTCCTCGCCCTGTAGATGATTGTGCATGGCCACCTGCTGATGGTAGACCGGTGCGTCAGCTATCTTTCCAAGACGGATTGAGCAGGCTTGACGATCCACCTCCGACAAGTCACCTTACGGCCACCGCACCTAGTTCAGACTCCACGCCTTCACATCCATTTCCAGACTCTCCTTCAGCTTCAACATGACCTTCAGATACTCGTACGTCTGGTGTTGATACGCGCCAGCTTCCTTATTGACTCTTGCGGCCTGACGACTGTGGCTGACCTCTTACAAACGATCGTTTCACGAGGGCCTCTCCAAGGGATCGCTGGCCACCAAGATTCAGCCATCTTTAAAAGGTTCGTCCCCTGCCCTTGATCTTTCATCGCGTAGCTTCAAGTCTCGCGAAGAGACTGTGTCCCCTAGACATGACGAGTTCTGTCCACCGAAACGTGCGTCGTATTCCGATCGGTACGAGCGCACAGATTCAGGGACCGTCGTTCACCACCTCCATTAATCGCGACAGGTCTTGAAGTGACTGTCGGTCGCTGATATCATATCTTCGAGGGTTTTCTGACAAGGACGTTCAAGTGCAATAGGGTGGCCATCCTCCGATCTTGAAATCTGCGTGGCGTGTCGGCTGCGTCGATCGACATATCCGTTAACTAGTGCTCAGCCTTTGCTGATGGCTGGCAGCCGGCGAAATACATTTCACTGGAAGTAGCACGTACGAGGCTATCTGCGTCGAAACCAGATCTAAGTACCCATAACCTGTCGGCTGAGTCGCGATCCCAAGGTCGATTCGGAACACCGCGTGGCCTACAAATTGGCAGCACCAGTGACTGAAAAGGTAATAAAAGGCTCGGATAGCAACGTATGTTCCCTTCGGAGACAAACGAAGCATGGTTTGAACCGATCGTATTAATATTATGAGCACACACCATACACTTACGTAACTAGCATTACGCGTCCGTCCTCTCGCCAACACAAAGTCTTGCCAATTCGGCTGGTTTGGCGGGAAAAGTGTCTTTTGCTGAGACCACTTGTTCCCTATTAGCTTGATGATAATACCATGTACAAAGTTTCTGCTGAATAGGAATTGTAACCGGAGCCTCCTCTGGCATTTCCTACTGAGGCCGCCAGTTTTACTAAAAGGGAGGTGTGCCCGCCGCCATTAAGCTGTCTGCCGCTGTCGAACGTGAGGGCCTGGGCACTGGAGCTGAAGCGGTGCAGGTGAGCTGCAAGTATCTGGGGAGAGCGTCGTCGCTAGAATTGTATCATATATTCGCAGCGAGGATATCTGGTATCGAATAAACAGGGTGTCATCATTGAATATTGAATTACTGTACAGGGGATCCATGTCAAGCACATGTGTAAATCCAAGTGAAGCGCTCATCTTGGGAACGGCACGATGTGAACTATTGCTTCGAAGACAAGAAAACTAGACAGACTCCGTAGCCACCACCCAGACCTACGCCTCCTCTACTGGCCATCATGGTGTCACTCGGCTTGCCCGTCGCCATCAGATCCGGATTTAGACTCGGAAGCCGAGTCTGAAAGCGGCCTTTCGGGGTCGCTGTGAGCATGCTCACAGGTATCGCATCCGTCCTGCGACACGCCCTCAGAAAACTCGAGCTCCTCGACCAGCATCTTCAGCTTCGGGAGGTCCTGGTGAAAGTTGCTCTTGGTGTCCACGTTACTGCCGGAGTGGACGTCGAGACGCCTCACGCCCAAGCCGCGCTCTTTGCGGCCTTCCAGCAGCCGTATCAACAACAGCATGAGAGAGCCGGCCTGCTTTGGCTCCTTGTTCCAGATGATGTTACGGAAAACCAGCCGTTCCAGCTTGGGGAACGCCAAAGGGCTCTGCTCCATGAACCTGAACAAGGAGGCGGCAGTGCCTTGGCTATCCGCGATCTCAATCTCGCGAACGTCGGGCAGCTGCGAGATGGCCTGCCAGGTCGCCTCCGTCTCGATAGCTATGCGACCGGTACTGACGGTGCGTACCATTGAAAGGGGATACAGGGACAGGAATACCTGTATCGGGGCCTCGTCACCATCGTGGTCTCCTCCAAGACCGATCATATGTCGCAGGTAGCAGACGTCAGGCTCTGGTACCTCTCGCCCGACTTGGGTCGTACGCTTTCCAGCTATCCTATCCCCGTCCTCCGAAACGTCTCGACATCGACTTGCCGCCACTGCCACCATGCACCCGCGCAGGTATCCTTCTGAGCAATGACCGCTGTTCAGCACCAACACGACGAAACAGACTGAAAAGCTCGCCTTGGTCTGCGGCACTCCCATGTCGCGCAGCTTCTGTCTTGCACCAACCAGCTTTTATTGGGGCCATGTGCGGTCTGTTATGCAGTTCGCCAGGTGTCAGTTGCAATGCTAGGGTTTTCCCGTTCTGTCGTAGCGTTGTCTTCACCGCACGAGATTCGTCTTCTGTGCGATCTGCGGTCCTGGTCCATGTAGTGTATTGAGTTATGTAAAACGACTAGCGGGCCCAGACTGCTTGGTGCCCGTGAACACTTGGCCGTGCTGGACGTCGCAAAACACGACGGGTTGCTGGTCAGCTGACAGCAGGACGCACTGCACATAAAGAATGAAACTACGTTGCGCGCCAGTTGAGGATGTACCCGCTTTCCTCATTTGCCACGGGACGCCGCTGCATAACCAGGGCGGAAGGAGGATGAAGGGAAGGCCGCCGCGGCGCATTGGGCCGGTGCACGACTTGCGAGACGTTGCAGTGGACGGCCAGGGCAGTTGGTGTCTCTGTCATCTGCGATCGTTACCTGTACACAGAACGAGCACATTGAATGGCGCATTTCTGCACCTCTGGCTTGATGCATTATTGTGATCGTGTATGCTACCGACGCCGTGTCGCGATGAGCCAATCGTCTTCACTGTCCCCGCTGATGGGCTGCACTGATTGTAGGTAGTCTGCGCGAGTCTGCTGCTAGGCAATACCCCGGACGCGCAAAGCGGGTGCATAGTCAGTGGGACAAGGGGCTTCAGCAGATTGTGTTGCTTCAGTTCGCGTTGGGCCTCGTGCGATGTGGCATGCGGCCAGGGAGTTTTTCCAAGCGATCCGTGCGTGGTGCCAGGCGATGGACAGAGTTGTCGCCACCTGTACAGTTATCAAAGAGGCAGGTGTGTCATGTCATCCGTACGCGCTATGATGCGCTCAGCCTGATGGGTCCTTCAGTAACCACTTGCGTGAGTGCAGTTCGTTCAGCCAGAGCAAGGCAATGCACGTTGAGATCAGCCTTGCCACGATGTGCATACCACTCCCGAGGCCTTTCGCTAGCTTCATATCCTCTCCATAGATGTCCACCGAATTCTAGAGACAGATCTACGTGAGCAAGCGGAGGACTCGGAGGGGCAGGCCGCAGAAGGCATGGCGGAGGCGGAGAGCTGCGAATATAAGGCAATGGAGCAAGTGTACAGCCAGGAGCTGAGGCTCAAGTACTGAAGCTGAAGCTGTACGGGTGAGCTTCGAGTATCTGAGAGCATCGACACCAGAAGAGAGAAGGCGGGGAGCTTCGGCAGCAGTCGCTGCTACACATGGAGCGCTCAGCGTAGCCAGTAGGCGCCCTCATTTGAGGCACGACGCGGCGGGACAGGGCGCTCACCTCGCTTTCATCTCTCCCACCGTCTGGTCAGAACCTACGACCGTGCAATATTCTGAGATAGAATGGTCCTATGATCTCATGCTTGCTCACTCATGTTAACGCGAAAGAGCGCGCTTCCATCGCCCAACCCCCTTTTATCACCTCCGACACTATCTTCGGCGCGTCTTCGTCATCGGGTATACGCTAGGAATGGGTACATTGCATCACACACGCAATTCATGCTTTACCAATAATGCCACAGATTCTCTGAACGCGTCGTCGGCCCCTCCCCTCCTCCACACGGATAACGTTGCTGACGAAGCCCGTGTCAAGTACGTACACCCGACTTCACTTCGTCGTACGCAAACCGGAGACGGAGTGGTATGTGTGCGCGTTTT